TGTATATATGTACTTATGTATATATATTTTATTTATTTTTTTTCAGAGCTGGCTTTGTTTCGTAGGTTTTGCAAGCAAGCCAAAATGTCGTCGTTACCTCGTGTTTTCTTCGACATTAATGCAGGCGGGGAGAAGCTGGGTCGCATCGTAATGGAGCTGCGATCGGACGTCGTTCCAAAGACCGCCGAGAACTTTCGTGCTTTGTGCACCGGAGAGAAGGGCTACGGCTACAAGGGCTCTCCATTCCATCGGGTTATACCAAATTTCATGTGTCAAGGCGGAGACTTTACCAATCAGAATGGCACTGGAGGACGCTCCATCTACGGCCACAAATTCCCGGATGAAAACTTTGAGCTGAAGCACTCGGGTCCCGGCACATTATCAATGGCCAATGCCGGACCCAATACAAATGGCTCGCAGTTCTTTATTTGCACTGAGAAAACCACCTGGTTGGATAACAAACATGTTGTCTTTGGCAAAGTTGTTGAGGGCATGGATGTCATTCGTAAGGTTGAATCGTTGGGCTCGAACTCTGGCGCCACAACCAAGAAAGTGTTAATTGAAGACTGTGGCAGCTTATAAAGTCACTCAAGTGATTTCAATGTTTTTCCAGTACATAGATTAGTAGATGCAGCTGCAGTTCAATGTCATTGATTTTAAGGCTAGAAATAAACGCTATTGCTCGTGGGTGTTACAAGTAAATACTAAGCACAATTTTCATTATAAAGGTAACAGAAGTTGAAACTTGTACATACATATAGCACTTGCAGATCTACTTTGTTTCTATCGATATTTATCGCTTCTTTATTAGAGTCAGTCTCTCAATTTTAAATATAGTTTTGGGTGTTTTAGAATTTCTCTCAAGCCTACCATTTTTTTCCAATTATTTGTTCTAAGTAATTCCTCTGTTTGCTCTGTTTTTCTTTAGGCATTGCCTTCGAGTATTTTCACTAAGTATTTCCTTCAGGCATTTCCTCTAAGAATTTTTGCCAAGTTTTTCCTCAAGTGTTTAAAGCTTAGCTGAACGATCACTCACCTCATTTCACTTTTCTGCACTGTACGACTGACCCCCACCAGGTATGGGCGACTGAATAAATGCTGCAGCTGATGCCCTTTATATAGGGCCTCTTTCACTCTGGCACTAAATCACGCTCAAATGTTGAGCCCGACGCCAGGTAATGGTCGTTGAAATCGAGATTTTAGTGACCAATGGGAACACTCTCTGTTGCTGTTAGCATTCTAGCTTCGTTTTATCACTGACCATACAACACATAGAAGAGAGTAGAGCAAACTTTTTCTACGTAGAAAAAAATGAGCATAAGGGTCTAGTCAACTTCGTATTTGCTCGGCTTAGTCTCTATAGGCTCGGGTCAGTGGTTTTATATACGATATGTATAAATACCAATTGTACAAATTTGTTGCTCTCCATATTGTCTTGAAATCATTATTATTTCAGTTTATTTCAAATAATCGATATATAGATATCGATTAATTTATTCGCATATCGAGCATCAGGTATTGAACTTTACCACTGACCGGTGACTTTACCAACCATTTGGCTCTGTTCCCAACAGAAAGGAGCTAATATGTTCTTTAATTTATTACTCCTACTTTTTATACCCTGAACCCATTGAAAATGGGAAATCAGGGTATAATGGTTTTGTGAAAAAGTATGTAACGGGCAGAAGGAGGCGTGGCAGACCCCACAAAGTATATATATTCTTGATCAGCGTGACGAGCTGAGTCGATATAGCCCTGTCCGTCTGTCCGTCCGTCCGTCCGTCCGTCCGTCCGTCCGTATGAGTGCGTCGATCTCAGAAGTTATAAGAGCTAGAGAGCTGAAATTTGGCATGCATACTCGTGNGCAGGCTTATGCGTGCGTGTGGATGCATGTGTATGTATGTGTGCATAAAAGAAGTGCAGAATAATTAGAATATCAGCTTAGAGGGTTCAGGGTATCTCCTAGTCGAGCAGTCTCGACTGGAGCCTTCTTACTTGTTTACCTTATACCATTGAAGCTGGCAATATTGTTTAGGTGTTAGAAAATGTTGTAGAGTAGCATTTAAAAGTCACTACATTTTATTTATATATTTATATTCTTATTTTTCAAAATTATGAGTCTAAAAAAATCAATTCACAGAATATAGTTTCCTGTTTGGCATTGCAGAATGGACGAATCGAATAGAGTTCTCAGCTTGGCCGCGGCCAAGAAGACAGTGTTGTGTGTGGGTAATTCGACTATGGATTGCATATCGATTGTCAAGCGATTTCCCAAACTCAGCAGGACGGAAAAGAGCGGCGTGGGCTATTGTCAGCGCGGCGGGAATGCAGGCAACAATTGTACAATCCTGCGAAACCTTGGTGTCGATGTGGAGTTCTTTGGAGTCCTGTGCTCGTCGCCCATGTGTGCGTGTATAAAGCGCGATTTGACGTCGCGTGGCATCAAGTCGCATCATTGTCCGCAGTGCATGGACGATCCGCCATTCTCGTCGGTGGTTGTCAATCGGCGGACGCGCACCACCCATGTTGTCACTTGCAATAACGCCTTTCCGTATCCCACTCTGGAGGATTTCGAGAAACTAGATCTGAGCACATACGGTTGGATACACTTTCGCGGCTGCCGGCCAGAGATAACCATTCAAATGATGCGAGCCGTCGATGCCTACAATCAAACGCAAAGCGATAAGATTATCATATCGATGGACTTTGATACGGACTTGACTGCGATTTGGCCCCTGGTCGACTACTGTGACTATGTGTTCTTCTATGGGTCGCTGGCCCAGGAAACGGGCTGGAAGTCGGCGAGAGAGGGCTGCGTCAACATCGATGAGATGTTGCGCTTGCGATTCGGGATCAATATGAAACGGCCCTTTGTGGTCTTCATATGGAGTATACAAAAGATCGGGCTGATGGATCTCGATGGCAACTATATTCGTACGACCTCCTACAAGCCGACACGATTCGTCGACAATCTGGGCGCCATGAAAGTCGTCGTTTCTGGCTTCATCTATGGGCTGTACGTGAGAGGCCGTAGTCCTCGCGTCGCAGCGAATTTCGCCAGCCTCATTGCCAACTACAAATGTACAAAATACGGCTTTGATCATATTTCGAATATACTAGAAGTACCAGACCTATGAAAATTCAATACATATATGTTTGTATATATTAGATAAATATACACGATTTTTTTGGTTTTGTTTTAATTTTTATAGTTTTGATTCTTTAATCAACAATTTAAATACTTTTAATACAATTATATA